GATTCTTCAATGCCCGAGTTCGCCCCCTACTGACCTACGGCTGAATCACAGGCATTCAGACAAAAATCTCATCTTCTGTTATTATAACGTTTTAATTATGTGTTGTTATAATTCGGACATGTAACTAATCTATATTAATCAAAACATAATAGATCAAACTTTATAAAATATTATAAAAAGGAAACCCTAATAATCTAGTGTTGTTTCTAACATCAGTACTAATCTGTAATAAATATAAATTTCTTCATTAGGATAAAAATTTTAGTGAAATCATCTTGAACTACACTCCATACCAGTAGGTGGCGGTAATGCACACCTTCAGTTTATCGCCAACCGCCATAAACACCACAAGAAGAAGAAGGAAGAAGAAGCGGTAATTTTGTATGTGGTGTGGAGCCTCAGTGTCAGTCATTTCTCTTTTGTTTCAGAGAGTTTTACTTTGTTTTCAGAGTCAGTTATGGCCCAGCAGACCGGCTACTCCCCCAGCTTCAAGCTGCCAGCAGACATCATGAGAATGAGGCGGAAACGAGCTGGAAGCGACTCGTCCGGAGCTTTAYCCGCTAAAGACCCGAGTCCCGGTGGATCCGCGGCCGCCACGAGACCCTTCTCCCCGGGCCCGCTTTTTAAAGAGCAGAACCGCCGCAGGGCGGGGATCAAACGCCGSAACCCGTTCGCGACCATCGAGAACACCTACAGCCCGCGGAAGAAGCTTTTTGTTTACGACGAGGTGGAGGGCGGGAACGTCGGTCCTGTCCGGACAGAAAAGGACGGAAATGAGGACAAAACAACAACGAGTGTGGACTGTTCGGCTTGTACTGACCGCCTGATGGAGGTGAGGCTTTTATTTTAAGGTTAAAGCTTTATTTAGTCGTTAATACAGAACAAAACGGTATATTATGTATGGCAAGCTGTTATGATCAATAATTGGACGTATTTACGCCTTGTTCTGACACTGTTCCAGTCAGTAGAACATATGTGGAAATGAGGAAGTGAACTGGAACAGACGGCGCAAAACACAGAATGGTATGGCAAGCCGTTGTGATATAAAATCGTCTTGCACACATTTATATTCCAGATACCTGAAATAGGTTTATGAGTAGAAATAAGATATCTGATTATATTATGACCTTTACCTAAATGAGAAATCTCTGATTTCATTCTGACTAGATGCAAGTTATCGATTAGGAAGTAAAGTTTAAAGACACAGTGTGTAGTAGGGTTGGGTATAACCGTATCGTGTGCAATTAATCGTCAGAAAAACATTAATCGATTACTTTTTGGCACTTGATGATTAATACGATTAATGTCAGCAGGCAGACTGACTGCGGATTACTCTGGTCAGTCTGCTTGTTGCTCCTCTCCGCTTCAAATAGGACGAACATTAAAAATAAAGTTCTGTAATTTATTTATCTATCAACACAATTTAAAATTTGATGTATATCCTGAAATATGTAATTTTCACACAATTTTGAATTTTTTTTTACAAAG